GAAGAGAGGGGCAAAGGGACCTGGGAGAAAGTGACCCTTCTCTGAGTGTACCTTTTTTTCTAAGTTTGACTTTTTTTTTTTAAAGACTTTATTTATTTATTTGAGAGAGAGAGAGAGTGAGAGAGAGCATGAGAGGGGAGAGGGTCAGAGGGAGAAGCAGACTCCCCACTGAGCGGGGAGCCCGATGTGGGACTCGATCCTGGGACTCCAGGATCATGACCTGAGCTGAAGGCAGTCGCTTAACCAACAGAGCCACCCAGGCGCCCTCTAAGTTTGACTTTTGAAAGCATGCTAGTGTTCTACATATTTAAGAAATAAAATAGTAAGGATGGGAAAAGGGAAAATCTAAAACTGAAAGCAAATTAAAACAAATGAACCCAATTGTATTATAAATCAATACTATAAGCCCACTGGAGGGAAAGAAAGAAAACTTATGAACATAGCATTTAATTATATTCTTTCAGTCTTGGGTTAAGGGAAAGGGAGAATGGCAAACAAATCCTAAACTATTTTAGTGTGGTTCTAAAAGTTTTAGATGTGATAGGGGATTGAAAAAAATGAGTGAAATCATCATTGTTGTTTGAAGCCAGGTTCTTAACATGGAATGGGGAAAAGCAAGAGAAAACCTATAGAGATGGATTGTAATTGGAGTTATTGGTGTGATCTTGTGATTTCTATAATACATATATATATATATACATGTATATATGCACAAGTATATGCATGTGTGTATATTTGTATGCTCATATATATATGTGTGTGTGTGTATTCACTTGCCCTGTCCACAAAAAGCAAATATACCCCAGTAGCAATGAGCATACTGTGAGCCTAGATCTTGACCTTCAATATCCTTCCCCACTAAAATGAACCAAAGCTCCTCAGAGAAATAAATGACTGGTTCCAGGACTGGGGAAAACTAGGTTTGGGAAGAGCTTAGAGCATCTTGTTACACCAGAAAGAATGGAAGTGTGAAAAGGAAGAAAAAATATGGGGTTATGTCACATGAGAAGTGAGCTTATCTGTTTTGTCTGGTATTAATATAGCCACCTCTGCTCTCTTTTGGTTACTGTTTGCATGGAATATCTTTTTCAGTCCTTTTACTTTAAGCCCATTTGTGTCTTTAGATTTAAAGTGAGTTCTTTATAGACAGCATTGGACTATGTGTTTTTATTTTGACAATCTCTGTCTTTTGATTGGAGGGTTTCATCCCCTTACATTTACTTTTTTTTTTAAGATTTTTTTAAAAGTAATCTCTGCACCCAACATGGGGCTTGAATTTACAGCCCTGACAGGATCAGGAGTGACGTGCTCTACCAACTGAGCCAGCCAGGCACCCCTATTCCCTTAGAATTAAAGTAATTACTAAGGAGAAACAACTTATTTTTATCATTTTGCTATTTGTTTCCGTTTCTCTCATAGTTCTTTTGTTCCTCATTTCTTGTATTACTGTCTTCTTTTGTGTTTAATTAATTTTTTGTAGTGAAATGTTTGAATTTTTTTCATTTCCTTTAGTGTATATTTTGTAACTATTTTCTTTGTGGTTACCATAACAATTACATTTAACATCCTAAAGTTATAACATTCTAATTGGAAGTTTTGCCAGCATAACATCAATAACAAACTCTCTTAATTTTTCCTATACTTTTTTTTTTAAGATTTTATTTTTTTATTTGAGAGAGAGAGACAGCACGAGTAGGAGGGGCAGAGGGAGAGGGAGAGAATCTCAAGCAGACTCCATGCTGAGTGTGGAGGCCAATATGGGGCTCAATCCCAGGACCCTGAGATCATGACCTGAGCTGAAACCAAGAGTTGGATGCTTAACTGACTGCGCGACCCAGGCGCCCCTCTCCTTTACTTTTGAAAAATAGTTTGGATATAAGCTTCTTGTTTGACAGGTTTTTTTGTTTTCTTTGCACACCTTGAGTATGTCAGCCCAATGCCTTCTGGCGTTTGGCCTTCTGGCCTCCAAAGTTTCTGATAAGAAATCTGTTGATAATCTTATTGAGGATCCCTCATATGTGATGAGTTGCTTACCTCTTTGTTTTCCAGATTGTCTTTGTCTTTGAACAGTTTGATTATAATGTGTCTCGATGTGGCTGTCTTTGAATTCATTCTACTTGGATTTTACTAAGCTTCTTTCTTGCATGTTTATATGTATGTCTTTCATCAAACTTGGAAAGTTTAAAAAAAATAAAACTTGGGAAGGTTTCAGCCATTATTTCTTCAAATAATTTCTCTGCCCTCTTTTCCCTCTCTTTTCTCCTTCTGGGATTTCCCACATGTGTATGTTGTTCTCCTTGATGGTGTCCTATATGTCCCTCAGGCTCTGTTCACTTTTCTTCATTCTTTTTTCTTTGTTTTTCAGACTGGATAATTTCCATTGCCTGTCTTCAAGTTCATTGATTCTTTCTTCTGCTTGCTCAAATGTGCCTTTGAATTTCTACTGACTTGTTTTCAACTCCAGTATTTCCTTTCAGTTTCTCTTTAGATTTCTGTCTCTTTATTAATATTTCCATATTGTTCTCTCGACTTTCTTCATGTCTTCTTTTAGTTCTCTGAGCATCTTTAAAACAGTTGTTTTGAAGTCTTTGCTTAGTAGGTCCACCATCTGGCCCTTAGTGACAGTCTCCATTGATTTTTTTCCTTTGAATGGGCCATACTTGTCTGTTTCTTCATATGCTTTGTGATATTTTTGTTGAAAACTGGACATTTAAATCTAATAATGTGGTAACTCTGGAAATCAGAATTTCCTCTGTCCCCAGGTTTTGCTCTTTTTTGTTTTATTTTGTCTTGTTTTTGATTGTTGCAGCTGTCTCTGTGCCAGGCATCAGCTTGAGGTGTAAACCTAAGATCTTCCCAGTCTTTTCTGAGCCCATACCTTTCCCTGGGTATGCACTAGGACTTTCTAATTTTCCCCATAAATGCAGTTGCTTTTGAATGTCCTAGTCTTTAATGTCTGGCTCTCCAAAGGAGGAAAAACAGAAAAATGAAGGGGGGTTGGTGTTGATCCTTTAAATCCTTTGGAAGTCCCTTCAGCCAGACAAGAAAGGGCTTGCAACAGTGGGGAGTGGCGTGTAACAATGGCTTCCAGCCTCTATGTCTCTACCTCCATAATCAGAAGCCGCAGTCGTTGATCACAATACAAATCCTGATATGTGGGAGACAAGTCCTTATTGCCCAACATAGCTCCCATAAGCTGTGTGCAGGCTGAACCTAAAGTTCCTGCCCTGCCTGCCCTGGGGCTGGGAGTGATAGATGGATAGCTGCTGCACTCTTAAGAACCGAAATTGACCAAAATTAACTGCAGTTTCCCTTCCAAGCCTTGCCCTTGAGAGTTACAAGCCTTCAGTAGACTCCAGAGCTCCAAAATAGTTTTGTCAGACAGATTCTGCCAGTGCAATTGTCTAGGTGGGCAGACAGATTTCCTGGTGCTTCCTACTCTTTCATCTTCCCCAAATCCTGTTTCATTCATTTTTGTAGTATTAACTGACCATTGTGGTAATAGAAACAAGGATACTCTGCTACCTCAACCACCAATTTTACTCCTAAGAACATTTTCAAAATTTGTAACAAAGGCCTTTAAGGATTATCTGAGTCATTTGGGTGAGGGGTGGGGGTCCCAGAGGGAGAGGGAAAGAATCCCAAGCAGGCTCCACGCCCAGAGCCTGACACCCAGGGCTCAATCTAACAACCCTAAGATCATGACCTGAGCCCAAATCAAGAGTCTGACACTTAACCAACTGAGCCATTCAGGTGCCCCTATCTGAGTAATTTAAGAAGCTAATTCTAGCAGATGTGCATTTTTCTCAGTAGAATTACCTAGAGGGGAACACATGGGTGGCTCAGTCAGTTGAGCATCCAGCTCTTGATTTTGGTTCAGGTCATGATCTCAGAGTTGTGAGATCAAGCCCTGCGTCAGACTCCTCATGCAGCTGGGAATCTGCTTCTCTCCTTCACCCTCTCCCTCTGCCCCTCCCCCGGCTTGCACATGCGGTCATGCATGTGTGCGCTCTTGTTTATTCTCCTGATTAGACTGTAGGTATTATAAGCCTTCCTTGAAATTGGTCACTCATGGAAAAATGAAGGATGTTCCCTTTCTTCTTTGCCCAAATAAAAGAAACAAAAAAAAAAGTCTAAAATTCTGAAATCACATTTATAGAAAGTATTCCATTTTTAATTCCACATAAAATCCAGGATTATTTTCCTAGATTTACATAGTAAAACATAGCTAAGAAACACTATCTCCATTTTCTCACATAGTTTATGAGGCTCAGCAAAAGAGCATGTGAAAGTTCTCTGAAAAGCATAAAAGCTAGCCTGCAGGTAGAAGAAAAAGATCCAGGCTATGAGAGGAAAATATAAAAATTAGAAGCTAGAAAGACTCTACAATCTTAACCTCCCTGGGAAGATCCACAGTTAATTTGGAAAGTAAGCTATCTATCCAAATGTTATATATAACATATATAATATGCACTGTTTAATAATAAATAACTACTATTTAGTGTGTTCTACAATTTGATTATAAAAAGTATGTTTATAATAATAATGTATTCATATATTCATTGTTTGAAAAGAGGTCAAAATATGGTAAAAAATGTATCTTAATTTAATCAAACCAACATTTAGTTTACTATTTGGTAATACCTGAACTGGTAAAAATGAAAATGTTTTAGAAATGTACATTTCAGGGTGCCTGGGTGGCTCAGTTGGTTAAGCGACTGCCTTCGGCTCAGGTCATGATCCCGGAGTCCTGGGATCGAGTCCCACATCGGGCTCCTGGCTCAGCGGGGAGCCTGCTTCTCCCTCTGACCCTATCCCCTCTCATGCTGTTTCTCTCTCTCTCTCTCAAATAAATAAATAAATAAATAAATAGATAAAAAGAAATGTACATTTCAGGTTATAATGTAAAAAATAACTGAAAAAAATTCCATTCTTTTTTTCACAACATTAATGTATGGACTGAGTATAATTCTGTGTATATATGTGTTTCTTTCAGGGCTTGTGGTTGGATTTATCCTAACCATTGCAAATTTCAGCTTTTTTACCTCTTTGCTGATGTTTTTCCTTTCTTCTTCAAAACTCACTAAATGGAAGGGAGAAATAAAGAAGCGTCTAGATTCAGAATACAAAGAAGGTAAATGAATTATGTTTGACATCACTTATTTCATCCTAAGATATTATAAGCTTATAATCAGAACATGTTTAGACTGTTGAAACAGATAAATTTTGTATGAGAACAACTTTTAAGTAGTGGCCTAATTTAGTTTATCATTACTTCACCACAATAGTAACAGAATTTTAGAAGCATTAAAATCTATCATTAATTATTCTAAAACAATACAGAATGTAGGCAAAGGTACCATCTGACTTTTAGTCATTTTTAAAATTGTAGTCATTTTTCTTTCCTTAAACTTTAAGTTCCTGTAACTGCGTGATTTTCCTTCTGAGGAGAAAGCATTTCTTGTTCCTTTTATCTACTTGTTTGTTTGTAGGCGGGCATAGGAATTGGGTTCAGGTGTTCTGTAATGGAGCTGTGCCCACTGAGCTGGCCCTGTTGTACATGATAGAAAATGGCCCCGGCGAAATCCCAATAGATTTTTCCAAGCAGTACACTGCTTCCTGGATGTGTTTGTCTCTTCTGGCTGCACTGGCCTGCTCTGCTGGAGACACGTGGGCTTCCGAAGTTGGCCCCATTCTGAGTAAAAGCCCACCAAGGCTAATAACAACCTGGGAAAAAGTTCCAGTTGGTGAGTCTTTAACTTTCTTTAAAAAAAATTTAAAAAAAAAATGAAATGAACCAAAAAAATCTGACTTACTGCGTTTCTTACTTAAGAGCCTTTTAAGAATTTTAGTTAGTCTCCTTAACTGGAAAATTGCTGTCGGCTATTTAATTGATGATAAGAAATAATATTTGCAGGAAATGTTAGCAAGTCCTAGATAAACAGTACAGAAACAGAGACATATCAGGAGAGGAAAAGGAAGAGAATGATAAGAGTGTTTCTTGAGGACCTATTATGTTGTTAGTGCTTTAACATAGATCTCAGTTCCCCGTTACCATTACCAACAACTACTACTAACAATACATTTTTGTCTTTGTCATCACCTACCCTTCCCTTCTTATTCCCTTCTCCTCCTTGTCTTCCCCCCCACTTCCTCCTCCTTTTCTTTTTCTTCCTCATGTCCTTTTCATTTTTTCTCTTCATCATTACTGTCATTATCCTTAATACCCTTAATATTCATGTGAATTGGTTCTTTTATTATTTCCACCTTACTAACAAGGAAATTAAGAGAAGTTAAGTAACTTAACTACAGTCATGTAACTTAGAAATGACAGAACTGGGGCGCCTGGGTGGCTCAGTCGTTAAGCGTCTGCCTTTGGCTCAGGTCATGATCCCAGGGTTCTGGGATTGAGCCCCGCATCGGGCTCCCTGCTCAGCGGGAAACCTGCTTCTCCCTCTCCCACTCCCCCTGCTTGTGTTCCCTCTCTAGCTGTCTCTCTCTCTAATAAATAAATAAAATCTTAAAAAAAAAAAAAAGAGGAAATGGCAGAACTAAGATTGAAACCAGACAGTTTGGCTCCATTGAACCATTCCCCTGCATTGCTTAGCATGTCATGAGTTAATGAGGGGAAAAGACTCCTTTTTAACTAGACCTATGGTCTTTGGATTGTATGAAAGAGAACCTTTTCTTTGAATTAGTCTTGATAAGATGGGTACCAAATTTTTTTTTTGCTTTCCTTGATTTTATGTGTTTGTTGATTGTTAACCAGATTATTTTATCTGTGTTTTTTCTTCAGGGACCAATGGGGGGGTCACAATGGTGGGCCTTGCCTCCAGTCTACTTGGTGGTACCTTTGTGGGCATCACGTACTTCCTCACACAGTTGGTTTTTGTTAATGATTTAGACATTTCTGCTCCCCAGTGGCCAATTATTGCATTTGGGGGTCTGGCTGGATTACTGGGATCAGTTGTAGACTCATATTTAGGAGCTACAATGCAATTTACTGGTAAGAACATCACTTTATTATTGCAACTTATTGGTGTATTAAATGGGAAAGAAATGTGGGGGAGAAAAACATGGCAATGAAAACAATCCCAAAGACAGAGGAAATCAAGAGGCCAGGAATGACGGACAGTCTTTTCTACAATTTTGATTAAAAAAAATTTTTTTTTGTTAAATTAATTGAAAGAGAACTAGTCCCACAGAGCAATGAGTAGAAGCTGTGTGGGGAGGAAACATAGTGATAGTGCAGGATAGTGATAGTGCAGGAAACAGATGCTTTTGCTTTGGGGACTTCACCTAATCCCAGGGAAAGCAGAACATTTGGGATCAGATCATTTTAATGCTGCACCTTCCATCTGTTTTCCAAGTCCATTCGAGAGAGAATTATTGTACTATGTACACATATGACCTATTTTTCTACTGTGACATAATGCTTTCTGTCCCCACTGAATTTTTAGCCCCACTCAAGATATATGGGAGTTGGTTTTCCCCAGAATTTTCTATGCTTTGCTTCTGAGGCTCTCTTGTCATTTCAGTGTACTGACATATTCTGTTAGGTGTGTATTTCCTCCACATTCTGACCAACATGTTTTCTCCTTTGACTCATACAGTTAAGAGGCTGGGAGTTTGGGGAGTTTCCTTGTGTACAGTCCTTCCAGTTCTCTTCATGTGCCAAGATACTATTCTTGCCCTCCTGCTTTGCTCCCCACCTATCACAATGTTTCTTCTCTCAGATGCATTTATCTAAATACTAAGGAGGAAGCAGTCTGATTTTAGTTCAAGCTAAAGGTCACTAACTCTACACACACACACACTCTCTCTCTCCCCCTCGCTTCCTGTGTTTTTGGGTTTTTTTGTTTGTTTAGGAACCTAGGTTTTATTCTACACTGGGCTCTAACTGGGGAAGTTTCTGATCACATTGAGTGGGCTGAAAAAATTAATGTAGGCTGTGGGAAAGATTAATTCCTTCGGTAAATTCTTTGTGTGCCTCCTTTGTGGTGGCACCATGCTGGGTCCTGGGTTTCCATCGCAGAGGCTGAAGACATGATCCCTATTCTCAGAGACCTCACAGGTTGGTCTTGGAGGCCTAATCTTCTAGTTTCATGCTCTCTCTGTTGTTAATGTTCTTCCTTCTTCCTGTGAAGGAACTCCAGCAGTGTTGAGAGAACAGTATTGAGGTGTACTAAAACTCATATTTCAAAAAAATCCTTAGTAATCAAGGGTTCCATATCTCTCACTGTATAATTATCCACTGAAGGTAATTTATAAGTGGTTGAGACTCTTTCAAAGATTGTATTCTTTGGAGGAGAAAAGCTAATTTGTTTTAAATCAAGTCATTTGGATCTTCCACCTCACTTGCTTCTTCTCCACTCCAGGTTTAGATGAAAGCACTGGCATGGTGGTCAACAGCCCGGCGAATGAGGTGAAGTACATAGCAGGAAAACCGATTCTTGATAACAACGCAGTGAATCTGTTTTCTTCTGTCCTCATTGCCCTCTTACTTCCAACTGCTGCTTGGGGTTTTTGGCCCAGGGAGTGAACTTTTTTCATTTACAAAGATTGAAACTGCAGTAAATTTAGCTAATTTTGCAATTCCAAATTTCATCCTAAGAAGAATCATTGTAATGGGCAAAGAGGAAATACCAGCTCTTCCCATATTCATTGTGATGAAATTCCACATTTTTCCTCTAACTCCCTTGTAACAGCTAACATCTTTTAGTGAAAGATAAGTGTACATAGAATTTATTCGTATTTTTCTTCTGCTGAATAGAGCTTCGTGAGCAATGAAGCTATACTATCCCTAAATATTGCTGTATGTTGGACTAAAAGTGCAATACCACTTGTGCCAGTTACCGAAATTTTAGTTTTGGGTGGTTTAAACTGATGTGTGTGGAAGCCTGAATAAGTGTAGTCCTCACTTCTTCCATTACTTGCCATTTCCACTTGTGAAAAGTATGGAGTATGGTTCTTAGTGAGCTACTCCACATGTGTTCTTCCTTCCTCAGGGTTAGTAATGAAAAAAAAAACTAAATGTCTTTTTCATATGACCATTAGAATGCATGAAAAAAACTATTTTTAAGTAAAAACAAGAGATTTATCTTCTATCGAAAAAATGTGCACCTTATATTTCAGTTGATTTTTGAGCAGAAATTATCTTGAATTTAATATTTTTAATGTATTTTCTAGCTTTCTTTGAAATTTGTGTAGGAATCTGTTACTTTGGCACCCTGAACACTTAGTCACTGGAAAACTATTGTAATTATTTTTTTATTTGCTACCTAGAATTCATTGGAAGATGCTATGATTTCCTATTCTGTGCTTAACTTATGCTCTCCTGTATAATATAGAATCAACTAAAATGAATTCTACTTTTCTGTTTGTTCTTCAGTGTGATTTATTGTATGCTAAAGGAGGTTGATATGGTATGGATTATTTTGCTGAAAGTATTTAAAAATATTTCTCATGTGATTTCCATACATTCCCCCCCCTTCTTTTGAATTTAAATTTAAATTGACGAGAGATTCCATGAATAAGCCACCATTATTAGAGTGGATAAAGCTTAGACTTCTTTACTTGTGACTACTACAGTGATAATTGAGAACTGAGTTGATTCTGGAAGAAAGAAAAAAAAAAAAAACAGTTGACACCCTTAATCCTTAATCCAAGCAACAGAGGGAGTCTCTATTATTGGTTTTCACCTTTGGGTATACATTGAAATCACCTGAGCATCTTTTAAAAGAAATACTTGTGTCTGGGCTTCACTTCCAAGGATTCCAATTTACCTGTTCTGGGGTAGAGCCTGGGTATTAGGACTTTTTAAGAGCTCTTGCAGCACGTGAGAATTATATAGGGCATTTTTTGGTTTTTCAAGATTTTTTTTTTTTAAGTAATCTCTACACCGAGCGTGGGGCTCAAATTTACAACCCCAAGATCAAGAGTTGCATGCTCTACATGCCAGCCAGGTGTAGAGCATTTTTAAAAACACGTGCCAAGGCCCCTGTCTAGACCAAGTAAATCAGAATATCTGAAGGTGAGGCTCATGCATAGGTTATTTATAGAAAGCTCTCTAGGAGATCTAACTTTAAACAGGTTGAGAACTAAGTCAGAATGTCCTAAAGCACTATACATAAAAGAAGCTTCAAAAGAGTGGGACTTTTCATTTTATGCAGACAACTATTAGTAGCAGTGCTGTATGCTGTCTTTATGCAGTAATAGTTTCTAGTAATTATACTATGTCTTATAGCTACATCACTTACCAGATCATTTGTGTGTCAGTTTTTGATGCAGCCTGTTTATTCCTATAGCTGTTCCAACATGCCTTTTCTCTTTTCATGGTGACCCATCCTCATGACATACCATGGAATAAAAATATAAAAATCTTTGGGTTTGATAGTATCACCGTATCATTAACAGGTTAGGGAAATACTGCTTGACAAGCCTTTATTTGAAAACCTAGGGCTAGTTGTTTTAAAATCAAAATTTTCAGATTTTAGAAAACAGAGTACATATATTTTACTCAAACTCTCAAAAGAGTCTTAAGATAGCAACCATTCTCAAATACACTAATATTTCTATGGTGAATGTATGAATAGCACCACTAAGTGTGGTAACTGAAGATTATAAAGAGCCTCAGGTCAGGTCAGTTTTGTCAGCAAATTTAGGAAGAAACTTTGTTTTCAGAGCCTTTTTTGGATATGAGAATTATAGATAAGGAATTGTGGCTCTTTTTGCTTTAATCTTAGCTGTATTTTATTATAACATCCTTTGTAATTGGATATTTAACTAGCTCAATCTATTCTTCCTCTTTACTGAGTGAACAATTTATTTTAAAAATACTTACATAGAATTCCACCTAACAGTATAATAAAACAGTATGTACTGCCTACCTAGGCAACCTAAGGGTGTACATACCATTTCTTAAAACACTGTTAGGCAGTAGAGGAGGCTTTTGAAGCTTTTGAAAGAGATCTGAAGACTTAAAGGAGTCCAGGAGAACAATGAATTGATACAATTGGTCATTCCATTAGTTTTTCTCATTACTTGGGTTAATGTATGCCTCAGCCAAGGTGCATATATCTCTTTCTTGTTTCTAACTCCTATATATGTAGGATGCTGCCTTCAGAAATGCCAACCCCATCCCAATTAAAGACCTAGTATAGAGAAAAATCATGCAAGGTGAGGTATCATAAACTTTGCCTTAATGCCTGTAGTATTAACAGATGCTCCCTGTTATATACAGTGTGTATATTGGAGCCCAATCATCTGATGTCCCTGGTGTTTCATCTGCTGTTCTGATGTCATCACAATGAGAAAAAAAGTGCTGTAGCCATCAAATTTCAGGTGAATTGTACATGCTTTAAAGATGAAAACACAATTATGCAGTTAAATGATTTAATCTCCTAATGGAGTATCTGTTGCTGTAATTCCAAATGGTCCTGAATATTTTAAAAAATATAGATGTTCAGTATATGTTTGTTAAATTAAGTTGTTTGACTGTAATCAGTATTTCCTTTAAGAGTCACTGAAAGTTGATAATCAGAACATTTTTCTGGAGGAAAATCAAAAATAAAACCAGTCTGGCTACCTGAATTTCTGAGGACTGTGATGATTCCAACATTTCTCAATCATGTGATGTGCTATTAATGGTTTGGGAACTAATGAGTCAGGAAATGATAGTAAGGGCAAGGCTCCTAAAATTGTTTTCTCTGCCAAGACTAGACATGTTAACTCTCACTCATCACCCCTTTCAAAATTTACTTTATGCATGTGGCAACTCTTTTTATGTTTGGGTTTGTTTTTGTTTTTGCATTTCTTTTTTATTTTTTTAAGGCCTCTCTACTCCCACTGTTGGGCTTGAACTCACGACCCCAAGATCAAGAGTTGCATGCTCCACTGACTGAGCCAGCCATGTGCCCCAGATTTATTTTCTTTTTTAATCAATATTTGATTACTTATGTAACGAACTGAATCTATTCTTTTAATTTTTTTAAGATTTTTTTTATTTTTATTTGAGAGAGAAAAAGATTGAGTGTGAGCGTGCACAAGTGGGGGGAGGGGCAGAGGAAGAGGGAGAAGCGGACTCCCTGCTCAGTGGGGAGCCAGACACAGGCTCAATCCCGGGACCCGGGGATCATGACCTGAGCCAAAATCAGACACTTAACCAAGTGAGCCACCCAGGTGCCCCTATGCTGAATCTATTCTTTTTAAAATATTAGAATATTAGAGATAAAGCTAAAATATCCTTTTGCCTCCACAACTCAATAAACCAAACCTTCTACCTTCCCCCAAATAACTACTGTTAGAAATTTGAGATATTTTCTACACAATAATTGTTTTGAGTATATTTTCAAATCTTTTTTTTTTTTAAGATTTTATTTATTTGCCAGAGAGAGAGAGCGCACACAAGCAGTGGGAGCGGCCAGCATAGGGAGAAACAGACTCCCTGATGAGCAGGGAGCCAGACGTGGGACTTGATCCCAGGATGCTGGGATCATGACCTGAGCTGAAGGCAGATGCTCAACTGACTGAGCCACCCAGGCGTCTCTGTTTTGGGTGTATTTTAACACACATTCTTTTTAATCAATGAAACTTTGTTATAATTAATACCATTTTGCTGCTTTAAGTTGGATGCCTACATCAAGAAAAATCTATTAAGGAAAAAAGGTTAGAATATACCAAAATATTAATGTGTTCTTTCTAAAATTTCTACAATCCAAATGTGTTTCTTCTACCAATCAAGAAAATACTCAAAATAATCTCTGGAAATTACCCCTCTTCCCCATCTACCCATCCCCATCATTGTTTTAAATGGTATTCCTTATTAACTATCTTATTAGCAATCAATTAAAAGAATAAAATGGGGGCACCTGGGTGGCTCAGTAGGTTAAGTGTTTGCCTTCAGCTCAGGTCATGATCCCAGGGTTCTGGGATTGAGTCCTCATCAGGCTCCCAGCTCAGTGGGGAGCCTGCTTCTCCCTCTCCATTTGTCCCTCCCCCTGCTTGTGTGTGCTCGCTCACTCTCCCTCTCAAGTAAATGAATAAAATAACTTTTTTGAGATTCCCAATTGTGAAGCCTGAGGCAACAGTGTAATCCAGTCGTTAAAGGCTTTAACTGTAGGGGCCTGTGGGTGGCTCAGTAGGTTAAGGGTCTGCCTTCGGCTCAGGTCATGATCCCAGGGTCTTGGGATCGAGCCCTACGTCTGGCTCTCTGCTCAGAAGGGAGCCTGCTTCTCCTTCTCCCTCTGCCTGTCACTCCTCCTGTCTTGCTCTCAAATAAATAAAATCTTAAAAAATAAAATGGGAGTTGAGTATAATATAATGAAAAGTAACTGGATACTCAAAGCAATACTTTAATACCTTCACTTTTGGATTGTTGCAAAAATTAATATAAGTATCACATATCTCTACCTGTGTGGTATATATTTTCAAATTCTGATCTTAGCTGTTTGCATTTGGAATTATACATGGCAAACACCTTTGACAAAATTCTCAACACGTTGTCGTGGAGTTCTAGAACAAAGAACCTTAAGGAATAGTCTCAGCTCATTGCTCAGAACTGAAGCTAAAAAATATGTATACCATCCCATATGAGTGAGTGTATTGTTTTCTAACATGAATGCCTCCCTACCTTTGCATACACTGTCCTTTCTGCCTGGAATTCCTTCCCCTCTCTTCCCTTATTGATACTTCAAACACTGGCTTAGTGGGACTTCCTCCAAGAATCTTCTCAGGCTGAATTAGGTATCCCCATACACATTCTACACTTTAACTACAGCAGTTACCACACAACATTTATTGATTCAGCATATTAATACTTAACCTTTTTCTTCAAACTACTGTTCTCCCCATTGCTAAGAACTATGTATGTGTTCTTAGAAATGCACATGTAGAAAAGGCTTTAAACATTTCTTTGGGACTAAATACAGTTTTTAAGTCCATTTGTGGAGCTAGAATAATAATAGGGATTCTATTATTTTCTCTTAATCTCATTAGGCTACAATCAATGTTTTAAATAGTGATACCATATAGGATTAGGGGCACCTGGGTGGCTCAGGTGGTTAAGCATCTGACTCTTGATTTCGGCTCAGGTCATGATCTCAGGGTCCCGGGGTTGAACCCTGTGTCAGGGTCCCCACTCAGTGGGGAGTCTGCTTGTCTTCCTCTCCCTCTGCCCCTCCCCCTGCTTACATGCTCTCTCTCTCTCTCAAATACATCTTAAAAAAAATAAAAATTAAAAAAAATAACTAAATGGTGGTACCATATAGGATTACCAGAGAATAAACTAATTGGAACTGGATGTGGTAGATAAAGGTCCCCATATTTCTGTTGTGATCATCTGTGTAATGTTGCATGTAATAACTCAATTATAATTATAATGAAATTTGATCCTAAAGTTGATCTTTATAATGGACTAATATATTATTGAACAAGATTAATTCCTCAATTTTTTCCATAAAGTGGGGCACTAAATTGTGTCCAAACACTAACCATTCTCAATTGTGTTTCCTCAGTGATTGATTAACAAGCAGCTTCTCTTTCAGTTACAACCTGTACCCTGGCATATATTGAAATATATTTTGAAATAACCATTTTTTTCCTCAATTTTAAAGTAATATATTCTTTACATAAAATTTTAAAAAATAAGAAAAACGTGTAGAAGGGAAAAAAGATTTCATAATCCTGCTCAAAGACAGGATTATTATTTTAGTATATTTAGTATTTTAGGAAGGAAAGAAAATATCTAAATCCTTTTGTGTGTCCTGGTGCAAAAGAAACCATGATTGTTGAGGGGGTCTGGTCCCAGGCATAACATTCTGTTTTGTTTCTCACTATTTGATGTCCTGTCTCACACCTGAGCAGTGAAATAGTGTGATAGAGATTAAGGGGCACCTGCATGGCTTAGTCAATTAAGCGTCTGCCTTGAGCTCAGGTCATGATCCTGGGGTCCTGGGATTGAGCCCCACGGTGGGCTCCCTGCTCAGTGGAGAGTCTGCTTCTCCTCCTCCCTCTGCTGCTCCCCCTGCTTGTGCTCTCTCTTTCTCTGTCAGATAAATAAATAAAATCTTTTAAAAAAAAAAAAGAGGGTTTAATCTTGAGGTAAGGAAACCTGAGTTTTAGCTTCCAGTCACCCAAAAACATTCATTTGGTGCTTCTATGCTTTAGGCACTGTGTTCTGAAGTTGGTGAATCAAAGATGAATAAGACAAGGACCATGCACTTCTTTTTTTTTTAAGATTTTATTTATTTATTTGACAGAGAGGGAGAGACAGTGAGAGGGAACACAAGCAGGGGGAGTGGGAGAGGGAGAAGCAGGCTTCCTGCAGAGCAGGGAGCCCGATGTGGGGCTCGATGCCAGGACCCTGGGACCATGACCTGAGCCAAAGGCAGACACTTAACGACTGAGCCACCCAGGCGCCCAAGACCATGCACTTCTGATAAATGTGGGGGAGACAAATGTGTGTAACTACCATGAATAAATATGTGTCTACTGCGATTTTTTTGAGTGACTTTAGTTTTGCTTTCAGTTGCCCCTTTAAACCCCCCATAACCTTATATAAAAACTCCAACAAGCCCTTGACATTTCTCTTGTTCTTAGAAACTAGAGGAAGAGTAGGTCGGTGAACTGTGAGAGAACAGAGAACCGTGTTCCCCTTTCCCACTGCAGACTTCCAGCCTGAAGCAGATTCAAGCTGAGGGTGGGGAGAAGACAAAGTCAAATTTGAATTTTTTTTTGCTTTTGTTTTTTAACCCAGGTTTGGCTATTCTAAATGCTGAATTGAGGCTGATGTTAAATTGAAGTTTTGCTGATACTGGTTGTTACATGGACTGAATGTTTGTATGCCCCCAGAATTCATATCGTAAAATTCGAACCCCCAATGTGATGGCATTAGGAGATGGGATTTGCGGAGGTGATTAGGTCATGAGAAGGGCGCCAGTGTGAATGGAATTAGTGCCCTTATAAAAGAGACCCCAGAGAGCTCTCTGCCCTCTGCCACGTAAGAAACAAGAAAATGGCCATCTGCAACCCAGAAGAGGGCCCTCCCCAGAACCAGACCTTGCTGATACCCTGACTGCAGACTTTCAGCCTCTAGAACTGTGAGAGAGTAGTTTCTGTTTATAAGTCACCCAGTCTGTGGTACTTTCTCACAGGAGTCTGAACAGATTAAGACACTGGTGTAGAAGTGGGGAGGGTGACAGAGGCAGGAAGAAGAGAGGTATGTAAAGGTAGTTTTGGTTGTCTAGGCATGGCAGATGGCTAAAGCTGGTGTTATTGGATGAATCTGGTAGATAGAAGGTTAAGGCCGGTGTTAGCTTATGGGGTGCTTTTGTGGGCTCTCCGGAGGTTTCCTGCTGAGCCCCTCTTTTACAGTTCTTAACACCAGTAGATGCATCTCTGGTTCAAGTGGCTGCCTGCATCAGCTATCCATTAATGCAAACCATCCCAAACTTAGTGGGTTATTTGCGTATAGTTTTATGGCTGGCAATTTGGGATGGGATCAGCTGGGAAATTCTATTCCACATGATGTCTGCTGGGCACACTCAGGTTTACAGTGAGTTGACAGGCCAGCTGGGGGACTAGTCAGGAAGGCC